CCATTAAAGTTTATCTATACCCAAGAACAAACTTTAAATATTTTGCAGCTTACCAGGTCTTAGATGTAATGGCTGCATTCACTTTCTTTTTTTGGCTTTCATTTAACCTTTTGAACCTGCAAATAACACACTTCCTGTCCTTGAGTGACAACACTCACTCATCGTACTGTATTTATGGAGCAGCAGCCTTTTCAGCCTTGGACAAGAATTCACAACACCCCCACTCCTCCTCTCCATTGAAAGGGGGCGGGATGTGGTAGTCCACAAAGACAGCAGAGAACGTTGTAAGAGATAAAAGTGCAGGAGAGCACAGAAAGTTGTTACCTCACAAGATTTCCTGAATGTATTTTTTTTGCACTTACAGAACAGATATAACAAAACACTTCCAGAGGTATATTTAAAGAAGGCCTAATGTAAAAATTAACTTTAGGTCCATCATTTCCCCATGCTGACCCCACCCCCCCAAAAAAAAAAGCCTTAAAGAAATAAACAACTCAAATAGTTCTACAATACCATCAAGATATAACTGAAAACAACTTGTGTGACATTTTGGCTTTAGCATGTCAGCTGAGGGAGAGTTCTGTGTAAAGCAGAGGAACTGATTGATCCATTGCATTGCTTTGGCAGCCCATTCGAAAATATTTGGCTGCCTGAATACAATGCATATTAACACACAATATAATACATTTGGGGTAAGGCATCAAATCAGTGCAGAAACCTATAAAATGAGCTATCACACTCAATTCATGCTACTTTAAAAAGAAACTATATTAGTTTTGGTTCAGCTGATGACCATAGCATTGCAAGTGATTCTGTTTTACTACAGTAGACAAAAATTGGACACAGTAGTGATGTAAAATCTAGTGGATGGAACCAAAACACCCAGTGGGGAACATGATATCTGACACACCTGGAAGTGTCGGATAACAGTGGCACACCTGGCACTTCCAGAAAACAAAGGTTTTGCTCACCACCCCCCGGCAAGGTTCTTTTACAGGCTGGTACAGGTTTAATTATTTTTATTATAGAGTCAGGACCACTTTAAAGACAAACTCCAACTGAAACTTTCTATTTTGGAAAGACAGACACAAAGAAACAATTTCTAGAATAGTGAGGTAAAGTGTTTTTTTTAAGTCCTGCCCATGCAATCCTGTCCTGGTGGCAACTGCTCTCCACATTTCTTCTAGATTTCTGTGAAGCTCAATATTTTAAAAAATATTCATAAACTAACAGTGTACATATATTAAAGGAGAACTATAAGGTGAGTGATTTCCACTCATCCTTATAGTTAGAGCCAACCTACGACAAAGAAGCTGTCACAGGTCGGCTCTATGGATCGGGAAGTGAGCAGAAACATGCACCGATCCGCTCACTTCCCGATCGTCTCCCTGCAGTGAGCCGTGACTCTCAGTCACGGCTCCCTGCAGGGATTCCCCCCCCCCTCTCCGATCCTCCAGCGCTGAGTGGAGGAATGGACGGGGGAGGGGGCGGGCACAGCTGGCTCTGCCTCTAGATAGACAGAGACAGCTGTCACTCACGCAGCTGGGTGGATCTCGACAGTATTGTCGGGATCCATCCCGGCTGCGGCGCTCTCAGTATATCGCGGGCAATATCCTGCTTTATACTACGCTTTGGCTCCTGGGAGGAGGTTAGTATATGTCCTCCCGTGACCTTAAAGAGAACTTTGGGGAAAACACTTACCCCATAGTTCTCTTTTAAGCTTTTTCTTTAAACTGTGCTCCAGCAGTCCTGAGCCTCAGCTTGCAGTCTGAGGAAAAAACAAATGCAAGATATTTAAAGGTAATATCCCCTTTCTGGTAAAAAAAATAATGAATGCACACTTCATAAAAGAAAAAAATGTGCATTTTTTTTTTTTTTTTTGCTTTGAAGTCAGTAAAGCATTGCAACCGTGACCAGTGGTTCAGGGGTGCAATGCTCTGGCTCCTACAGACTCTTCCTACCGTCCATGTCTGTACAGAGATACATAAAATTCAGTAACATGGACGGGTAGAAAAATGAATGGACAAGTGTGGTGATGTCACCGCACTTGTATTACATTGAGATCTACAAGTCCCTCTGGTGCAGCAGCTGTTGAGCCTTGCAGTTTCTACATTCACAGATCCTGTCAAAAGATCTTTGAATGGATGAAGCGGTTGTGTGGGAGGAGCCATGCATAACCGTGCCAAATTTTTTTTAAAAAGCAGCAGCCTTTGGGGAGAAGAACCCAACAATTCAGGAAAGTTAGATATAGGTGTAACATATCCAGTCCAAACTATTTTTATATATTATGCTTTCCAGAAAGCTACAGTTGGACTTTAAATATATATTTAAATAAAGCTAACACAAATATCTAAATCTGCTTTTATATTAGTCTTTGTAGTCTCCTGTACTGCTGCACTGAAAAAAAGGAAGGGGCAGCACACTGAGTCGGTTAGGTTTGTAATGATTTGCACAGAGCTGTTAGTCTAACACCAAAAACATGCTTACAGGGGACAGGGGAGAGCACAGGAATGACTTTAATGTGTTGTTGTTCCCTCATCATGCAATCAGCAGGCTGGGAGATGGGTGGTGACTCAGGAAGCAGATATCTAATAGCCATTTTTTTTTCTTATGGTCACCCATCCAATTGGCGAGTACAATTACCAAGATTAGTGTAGTGTGGTAAACCCTGTAGGTGGCTAATGCTTAAAGCTTAAAGGAAGGACACATACTGTGCATGAGGCATATCATTGAAATGCTGAGATTATGATTTTCCCTGAAATCCTGTTTTAATAGAAAACAACGAGAACGGGTTCCTGGAAAACCTCTCAAGAAAATAGAAACAATTATTTCTTCCATAGTAACAGGTACTTACTCTTCCTTTCTCTGGAGTTCCTGTTCAGATTCTGTCAGTCGCTGGCGAAGAATTGCAATCAGCTCAACAGCCACATCTACCTGACGACTGAGGGCTCTTTCTCTGCGTTGAACCTCCTGCTTCTTCTGAGAAAGTTGTAAAAAGGCAGCTCGGACTTCCAGCAATTCTGACGTTTTTTGGCAAAGTTCCTCATTGAGTTTATCGATTTTCTTTTCTATGTTCTTATCAACATTTTCAGCAAGCTGATTGAGTACAGACTTCTCTTGTGGCTCTAAGTGAAACTTAGTACTTGTTACGGGATAACCAATAATATAATGGTGGCTCTTTGTTGAATTGTCCGAGAAAGAGCTTTTGACAGGAGGCGAAGGCCGCTCTGATAGTATTTCCATGGAACTGTTGGCTTGTTTGCTCTCGTTCTTTAGGTCACATAATGTGGGTGAAGTGCTCTTTTGATTTAGTGCATTGTCGATAGATTCTACCTGACTTTCAGGTAGTTCCACCTCTTTCAAGGAACAAATAATTCCTGATTGTCCCCAAAAATATCTTTCTTCATAGCTATGCATATAGTCCATATGTGCCCTCAAAGAGGAGAGGCTTTTGAAACGAGCACTTTCGCCACACTGCGGGCAACGAAAAGGCTTATATAGGTTACCATTTCTTACAGAGTCCTGCCACAAGGACTTGTTTCCTTCAGATGTTTTCTGTTGCATCACCCCAGCCAACCTGTAAAAATATATAATACTTGAATACAGTACATGGAGCATAAGGTAAAAAACACCATGGATAAACAGTTACTGTGTTGAGGAGTAGGCCAAAGTTTAGCAATAGTGTGAACACCTGTACTGCAGTAAATGGAGTGTTCTCATTATGTCAAGTACCACCAAAAGCAATGATGGTCAGAAAACCTAACCTGTTTGTGTTCCCCCTTCAGCATTTGCAAGAGTGGCTCATATCTTCTAC